CAAAAAAATAAAAAGTTATTAATGTAGTACCCTCATTTCTTATTGGATTCCTAAAAAACAACATTTATAATGATTTTTAATAATCTTTTTAAAAACTTTTAAGGCTGAATCCGACTGATACAAGATTTTGGTGGCCATTTTTTCATCGTTTTAATCCATTCTTATTGTAGTTCATGTATGATTATATACTTCATCCAGGATAATTCTATAATTTTTCTTTTGTGTGATGTAAATTTAATAGTTAACATAAGTTCATACAAGGAAAGAACATTTCAATATTCACATATTGATGAAAAAAATGAAAGTTAATAATGTAGTACCCTCATTTCTTATTAGATTCTTAAAAAACAATATTTATAATGAATTTTAATAATTTTTTTGGATTTTGTTTCTAGGCTTAATCCTACCGATTCAGTCGATTCCCGATCCAGATCACCGATTCACCGATCCGGATGGGTTTTTGGGGTGCCCGATCAGGGCCACCAATCCGTTTTTTAAACCACTGGTTATAACAGATTATTAATAATAGAAAGCTTGGTTTTTAATGGTATGGAGTGCAAGTTCCTCAAGGTATCAAGAAATGAAATACTTAAAAGACCATGAAAGGATAAAAAGGAATACTCAATCAATACAAACACAGGATTGCGTTCCGAATTAGTGGACGCCGCCAAAGGAACCGGCGATGCCATACAGAGAATGGATAAGAAGATTTTGTGGGAACTTCTAGGCGGCGCTTGCCTACAAGAAAGTCTTTTGACACTAGAAGCCGAAACTTCACGTTCATGGCTGTACTTCAACATTTGTGAATGGAAAATGTTTTATGTTGCAGGGACCGCATTTCTACATTTGCAATCCCCGATGTATAAAGCATCCATCTTAAATATGGATGCAAATAGGTGGTCCATCTAAAAATAATTGAAACTAACAATCCAAATGTCTTTTTAATAGAATTATTATTTTTAATTTTTAAAAATTATTTATTTTTTCATATTCATGATCTACAAGTTAGAGATTAAATGTCCTTAAAAATTAGGTCCAAAAATCCATCTCAAAAATAGATTTTTAAGAGGTGTATCAGTTCTACATGGACTCATAGAAACCGTGTCCTTTGTGAATTGTTACGCAGCATTTCAGGGTGAGACCCCATATCAGAAATTTCATGTAGGGAGTGGGCACGTGTGGGGGTTTCAACCGCAACCAACTCTACCCTAGCCGCCTCTCCTCTAGTATCCCCTGCTCGCTCCAACTCTCTCCAAAGCTCTTTCTCTCACTCTTCTATCAAGCTTCTCTCTCACCTTGCTCTCTCCTTCCCTCCTTTCTCTTGTGCAACCTGCTCTCTCTCAATTTTCTTTTATATATAGCAGATTCTCTCTCTAGCAGAACACCCACCTACAAAGGTTCAATCTTCAATCTACAACTACAAGAATTTTTTTTCCCTCTAGAGGATTGGACTCTAGCGCTTGGAACCCCAATTTATTTATTTATTTATTTTATGTATGTGTTCTTTTTAGAGAATTAGAATTTGGTGCTTGTGATTCATCATAAACCCCATCTTTTCATCCTTAGATTTTCCCCTTTTTTTTTCATTCATCAGAAACCCTAACTTCTCTTTAGTTTTTGGATCGTTTTGAGCTAGGGATTTTTCATTAAATGTGCACAAGTTGTAGACAAAGCCATACAAGAGCTTGATCTCATGAACCAGTTTGGTATCAACCCATCTCTCAAGGTGTACAATTCCATACTAGCCATTTTAGTGAGTGAGAGGTACACTTCGCTAGGGATTTTTACAGGCGCAATAGATTGGAATCTGGATTTTTGTTGATGAGTACACGTTTGGGATACTGATGAAGGCTTGTTTGAAACAAAAGGGTTTAAGCTCATGAAATTGGTGGAAAACCAGAAATATGAGTCTGAACTTGGGCTGTATGATACTCTAATTCATTGCCTCTACAAAAATGGGACAGTGGGTAGAGCAAGGAGTCTGGAGTCTGGAGTCTGAAGTGAGATGACAAAGCCTAGTCATGTCACTTCTAACAATAGGACACCTGGGTATTGTAGGAAGAGAAAGTCTTGGTCTTGTTTGAGAAGAGTTTGGCTCTTGGATTGATACCTGATGTGGTTACAGTGACAAAGCTTATTGAGGTTCCTTTTGTAGAAGGTCAGTTATGGAAGCAAAAGAGGTGTTATAGAGAGTTGAAAACACAGGAGTCTTGCTTGATATAGTTGCATATAATCCTCCGATAAATGGGTTTTTTCTAGAGCTGGTGATTTTCTTTTGGTCATTTTATTTTTAAATTACTTTTAAAATTTGTTACTGGTGCATGGGAAGGAAAAGTGTAGATGACAAAAAATTAGCTCAATCTAATGAAGAGAGAAAAAAATGAAAATTGAAATACTTAGACATGCTCTCAACCATTAGATCAAGATCGGGAGTATTCAATTCCATAGCATTTCATTGACAAGAAAAAGGCTTGGGAAATATAGGTGATTCAACAGTGTTTTATTTGTGAACTATATTAACTGTGTGATCTATATACCATTCATTTTGTTAAACCTCTTGTGGATAAGCTATGAATTCGACTTCTCATTCATTGAACAAATATCACCCTCTCATAAATAAAAACTACAATGAGTGTTCTTACTTCTTATGAAGAATGATATTCTTAATGAATCATTTGACTTATTTGAGGATGAGCATTGGTATGTCCATAGAGAGCAGATGGCTGAGTTAGGTCTAGATGTATAATTCCTCCATCTATTCAGATCAGTCCATTCTTGTCGTATTCTTGGTACCATCTAAATTTATATGGCTAGCAAAGAGGAAGGATGAAGAATGTGGAATTATTGCGCCACCCATCCAAACCAACTTCAAAATTTGAGGAAGAGTTTTCTCCAACCAGAGGAGACAAATGCAGGCACAGAATGGGCCTGTTTTGGTTTTTCGTTGGTTTCTAATTATGATGATTAAGGGATCTATTTGGGGATTTTTAGGGATTTTTTGGTATGTTTCTTTTATAGATTACAGGGTTCATGAAGTAACAAATTAAAGCTTGAGTCAATTGGTTGTGATTTGAAGATGTCACTAAGATCAAGATGGATTTTCCCATTAGCAGCAAACTGTCACAAAGTTTCCTAAGGATTAGATCAACTCACACATGATGTCCAAGTCGTACGACAACATGAAAAGATAGCAGGCATCATATATGAAGGGTATAGGGTATGAAGAGAAAGATCTGTCATAATGAAGCCTTTGCACTAGTTTGGTTCCATGATTTGAGAATCTTCCACTATCAAGGTCCATCCAATTAAGATGATTAACAGTGTATGAACACTGTTAACAGTATATAAACACGGTTGACAGTGAAGGAACACTGAACAGTCCATATTTCATATCACAGTTAAAAGTGTACATGGCCTGTTAACAGTCCACACACACTGTTAACAGTGCGTTAATAGTCCATCTATGTCCATGAACACTGCCAAAAGTGTTTATGGACTGTTGCCAGTCCAAACACATTGTTAACAGTCCATAAACCACATATGGACTGTTAACAGTCCATACACCGCATATGGACCATTAAGAGACCATACAAACTATTAACAGTGTGTACGGACAGTTAACAATCCATATACTTATTATTATTAGTGTGCATACAATGTTAACAGTTCATACATATCGTTAACTGTATGTATGGAATGGACAGCCCACATACAATCCATACCATCATTACATAATGTGTGTGTACAGTGTTAACTACTCCGTAGACACCCTTAACAGAGTACATGGACAGTCGAGAGCGAAGTTTATAGATTGTTAATAGTCGACATACACTATTAACAGAGTATATGGACTACGGAAAAGCATTAGTACATAACAAACAAAACATCAATGAAATAATTTCAATAAAATTATTGTACATGTACAATCAAGGCATTGATGCATAACAATTGATCCATCATTCAAATAAATGCAATGGCCAGCCCGAACCTGTTTATGATAGGCACTCATCCACCCTTTTCGAGAACCCCCCTTCTTTGCTCTCCAAGTTCGAAAACATTGCAAAATATTTTGTGATGTGGCATTGAATTACTCAATTAGACAAAAATCAGCCACATGTGTAGGAACTAGAAAATTAAACCACAACAAAAGGCAACGCTTATAAACACAACAAGATACATATTAATTAAGATCATAATACCGAGCAGAGTCTTCTAAGCTTCCTGGTTGTGCTCTATGACAGGTTGTGAACTATCCCTCTAGGGTTGTAGGCTTCAACTAAGACCTGTAGATAGAGAGAGATCATGAAAAAGAGATAGAGATGAATTAAGGGAAGCACAACCACGGCATTTCCAAGCTTTTGGCAAACCAATCAATTTCATGCCCACAGATGAGGAATAAAGATAATGTTACCAAGCTTTTGGCAACACCACAACATTACCAAACTTTTTGCAAAACAAAGATGACTCAATGAATTAAAAAGCCCTGGAGTAAGCAGAAATCACATCATAAATCAACTAGATCTATTACAGAACCTGAACACATCAAATGATAGATTAAGCATTGCATAGAATCCAAAAGATCTCAGAGAAATCACTTGTAAGTAATATTTATAGTTAAAATTCGCAGTGAGTAGATGGATGGTTTCATGTAGATATTCCTATAAAATATTTGACTCAATGACTCACTGCGAGTTCATGGATGGTTTCATGTGGATTGAGCTCATTTGGTTTTATGAGATCAGTATATTGATTGATTTCCCTGTCCTGTTTGACAAATATTTCTTTATCCCATGGAAAATATATTTCAAAAGTTGTAGTTGTTGAAGACTACAAAAATTACAGAGGGGAAACGTTACCATTCAAAT